CCCAGCAGCTCCACGTCCCTGTCCCCTCCTGGAGCAGAGGCTGAGGGGACGGCACCTCACAGAGCCCCACGTTCCCCTCTGTGTCACATCTGGCACACCCCAAGCGCACAGCCCAGGTGCTGGGTTGATGCTGCCCGCATGGCATCTCCCGTGCTGGGCCAGGCTGCGAGGGCTGCGGGGCCTGCTCGCCACCAGGCTCACTGGTCCCAGCGGGGCTGGTGCAGCGGTATCTCACGGCAGCTGGGCATGCCTGCCTGAGACACCCCCTCCAAAGCCCCCTGAGTGAACAGGGGACCCCAGCAGAAGTGCGGTGTCACAGCAAGGGCAGGGGGAGCACTGTAATGTGAACACTGTCCTCATCCCCCTCTCTTTTCCCACCAGCGAAGGAGGGGATGTCCAGCAGCAAGTTGTACCCCGCTGCGCTCAGGTTTTCCATTCTGTTCCCTGAAGACCCTGACTTGGTAGTCTGCCTTCACACTTGCACCAAGGCTACTTTTGCTGATGAGGGAGAAGGCTTGCAAAATAAGCCAAGGCTGTGGTGAAGCCCAGATAGTCGGTTCTCCATGTGCAGCTTGCTAGAGTGATAAGTACCCAGCTCCCGCCCGAGCCACCAGCTGTAGGGGCTGAGCAGCTCCTTGCGTGTGCCGTGGGCCCCTGCCCTCTGCCAGCCCCACAGCAGGCAGGCAGGGAGGGAGCGGGCTGTCCCTCACTCTAGGGGATCACCCTTCCTTGACTGCATGCTCGTCACCCTGCGGTGTTCCCCAGGCGGGGCTGCCACCATGGGATTCCTGAATGTTGGTCACCCTTGCCTGGTGCTGGGAGTGGGGAAGGGGCTGTAGGCTGCGTGCAGGCGTCCTGTTTCCCATAAGAGCAGGACAAGCCACATGCATGGAGATGGGCCTGTGTTGTGGGACCCTGAACACTGCTCGTCTGGGGAACCTCTGACCTGAAGGCACTGCAGAAGGTATGTTTTTCGGGTGGTTGGTAAACCCCCAGTGCAATGTGTTCTGCCCTAATCTCAAACTGCCAGGGACAGGGAGGGGCCTCAGAGACTAGGACCCCTCTTGGGGGAGCTGCTCTTAACCCAGGCACCCCAGGACCTTCACAGCCTGTGGGGCTTGGGCTGGCTGCACGCCACAGCCCAGGTGACAGAAGGCAACATGGTGACAACTCATAGGTCCAGAGAGGTCTGGACTGGGAGACGCTCCCTATCCCTGTGCCTGAGGACAGCGGGCTGTGTCCCCACAGCACTGGTGGGCAGAGCCTGCTGTGTGTCCCTTGGTGTCCGGAGAGCGCATGTGCAGCCCAGCGATGGGCAGCGCTGGGGTTTGGGGAGCAGATCGCAAGAGAGGGCCGTTTCAGCAAGGCACCCATGCCTCGCAAGGGCTGTGCAGTACCGACGGGCAGCCAGCCACGCTCTGCTCTGAGCACCCTGGGGAGCGGGGGAAACGCTCAGCAGCAATGCTGCGTGGCCAAGAAGGGGAGCTGGGGGCATTCCATCCCCTTTCGAGGGCTTGAGGCACCTACAGATGGCTCAGCTCAGGTTCCTGGGCTTGTGCTGCCCTGAGATGAGGCATCTGTAGGCCCACAGGGCCCAGCCAGCAGCCCCTCTGCCCCTTCACTTGGCCCCTTTCTGCCCATGCCTGTTGCAACCTAGAGAGCTCGCACTGGCCCCAGGAAAGCTGTTTGTTCAATAAATACAGACGGTAAAAAGAGGCATTGGAAAAAAATGGAAAAAAACCACACACCAAACCCTCTCTGGGTTTGCGCAAGTGGCCTTGGGTCCCAGACAGTATCGATCCGTGAGCCTTCCACCTCGCCCGTGCAGCAGCTGGGTCAGTGGGAACCCTTCAGGTCTGAGTCCTGGAGGCACCAGCGCCTGGAAGCCTGCGTCTCAGCACGGTAGCTGGTGCAACCTGATGGGGAGATCAGGTCCCCACTCCAGCAGGGCTCGGTGGGAGCACCTGCCTCAGGATGCATGCAACGCGAGCAAACACTGTCTTCTGCTACTGGTTGTTCCATCCCTGTGTAAGGTGCCACAGGTCCTCCAGGGCAATGTGCATCCTGGCCCCTGCTCCAACCACAGCTGCTCATGGCTCCCACTACCTTGGCCTGATCCCGGAATGGGACAGCAGATGCAAAGCCATCCTTCAAGCCAGATGAGGAGGGGCTCTGACACCACTCCTCCCTCTGCAGAGGGACCCTCTTCCCACCTGGTTCAGCCTCTGGGATGGGGTTGTCAGTGTTTGCAGGGTGGACCACAGAACTGCAGTTGCAGTCACTCAGCTCCACCCCAGCCAGCTGCACGCAGCTCAGAGGACTGCCCCAGGAGTGCCCCTCGTGAACCTCCCTCTCGCACCCCCAGCACCCTCTCCCTGCTCTCTCAGCCCTCACACATGGGGACCATGTGGGAAGCAGTGGAGAAATCCTAACACAAAATTACGTAATGGGGCTGACGTGTCAGAACCGCCCTTTGCTCCCAGCTCTCACGGCACTGACGTGTCCCACTTCGCCGCCAGCCAGGCTGGGGTGCAGCTAAGGGGGCAGCTGCTCCGGGCCGCGGGCCAGAGACGTGCCGAGAGGTTGCTCCCCAGTGAGGAAGCTGGCGTGGGGCTGTAGCAAGGGGGGGTGTCCTGGGCACGATGGCTTTGGCGATCTTGCCTGGCAGTCTCTGTCCATTTTAAACAGGAGAAGAGTTGTTCAGTTTTGTCCTGACTTGGGATGTGAACAGGCAAAGGCAGACGGTTTTGATGCATGCTGGTTTTAGCTGGGGTAGAGTTAACTGTGCTTCACAGCAGCAAGTGTGAGGCTGTTCTGGATTTGTGCTGAAAACAGTGCTGGTAATACAGGGATGTTTTCCTTATTGCTGAGCAGTGCTCACACAAAGTCAAGGCCTTTTCTGCCTCTCACACCAATCCACCAGCAAGTAGGCTGGGGGTGCACAAGAAGCTGGGAGGGGACGCAGTCAGGACAGCTGACCCCAGCTGACCTAAGGGCTACTGCATACCACTTGATGTCATGCTCAGCATATAAAGCGGGGGGGGAGAAGAAAGGGGGACGTTCAGAGTAATGGCGTTTGTCTTCCCAACTAACCGTTACGCATGATGGAGCCCTGCTTTCCTGGAGATGGCTGAGCACCCGCCTGCCGATGGGAAGTAGTGGAAGAATTCCTTATTCTGCTTTGCTTGCACGCGCAGCTTTTGCTTTACCTATTAAACTGTCTTTATCTCAACCCACAAGTTTTCTCACTCATACCGTTCTGATTCTCTCCTCATCCCACCGGTGAAGACTGAGTGAGCAGCTGCATGGTGCTTAGTTGCCAGCTTGGGTTAAACCACAACATGTTGGAATGGAAACTTTGGCCCAGCCAAGGAATGGTGCCTTCCCTGGTAGGAATCACAAGCCCCCTGTGTCTGGGGGCTCCCATACCATGCCCTGGATCTGGCTGAGACAAGTCAGGGGTTCTGCATCCCCCTGGGAGAGGCAGCCAAGGCACAGAGAGCACAAGAGCTGTGGGGCCCAGCAGCACTGCAGTCTTTGGGCACAGTGAGTCCCAAAGATGCACTGTGTCCAAGGGGTGGTGGACGCCCAACCCATTGCCTGGGTTTTATAACCAAGTTGTTAGTTAGAAGAGGACCGCGCACGGCAGAGTGGGTCGGTTCTGTGCTACCCTGGGGCTGTCTGTGCTAGGGCACGTCCACCACCTTGCATCTTGTGGAGAGGTGGAAGATGTGCTGGCTAATGACAGAGCACACATATGTGTACACATACATGTGCACACACTACAGCTGGGAGTCTTTTATTGAATACCAGGTAGCTGGGATGCTTGGAGAGCAAGACATTTTCCTCCCACTGGGATCAATTTCGCCTTCTTCACCCCTCTCAACCTCATGTCCAGCTGAGGAGTGGGGCCCCGTGGACAGTCCTCTCCCCTCTGGCCTAGCCATCCCCCAGCATCTATCAGCATCTATCTCCCCCAGCAGCCTGAGCTGGCTGCTGCTGGGACCCATTACCTGAAGAACACATGTTTGTGTTGCAGCACTGAGGGCTGCACCACGGCCTTGGTCTGGGACCAGCAATGGGGCAAGCCAGGGCTGCTCTGAGCCGCCCAGCAAGTTGGGCTCTGCAGAGTCAGGTCTGGTGTCCATCAGCAGCTGGTCTCAGAGGCTGTGGCTCACGGGCAGAGAAGAATCCATGGGTAGATCTGAAGGGGGAAAAGAGCCGTGTGGGAGGTGACGGAGGAGAGGACTTGCAGATTCAGCATCAAACTTGATGCTTCAGCCTCAGCAGGAGAAAACACCTTGGCAGTGTTCCCATCTACGAGCAGCTCGCCAGGTCTCGCACTGCCAGAGAGGGGCTGGGAGGAGGAGAGCCCTGCGCAGCACAGGTCCTGCCCTCCTGCCTCCTCGGGCAGCCGGTCAGGTACAACCGCAGGCATCCACAATCATGTCGGGGATGTCGGTCTTGACGATGTTGCTGTCGCGGTCGTAGTACAGCAGAGAGAGGGGGCGACGCTCCGTGGGCACACAACAGGAGTCCATGGCTGCATCCGCGTTGTTGGCTTTGATGAGGTTGAGGACAGCCGTGTGGAAGGAGGCGGCGAGGCCAGGGATGCCAGCCATGTGCAGGGGGCAGAGCCCGGCGCAGTAGTTCATGTGATATCCCTCCGGCTGGATGATCCAGTCCTCCCAGCCAATCTCCTTGAAGTCCACGAAGAATTCCTTGCGGCAGCACATCTGAGAGTTCCCACTGCAATCAATGCCACGCCGCTGGACCCGGTGGGGTGTCCTGGCCCGGGCCTGGGCTGCCACAAATGGCCAGTGGGAATCACTGTGGGCGGCCAGGAGGGGAGAGCCCCAGTCCTCCGCCACCTCCAGCTCCACAGTGAGCCTCTGGCTCCCTTGGCCAAAGAGGCTCTGCACAGCTTGGCGCACGTCCAGCGTGGCCCAGCCAGCCCTCTGCACTTCCAGCTGTGTCTCGCTGGCCACGGTCACGTTCAGCCCCTTTGGGTCCGGCTGCAAGAGTCTGACAGTGACAGGGGGGGTCCTGGGGCCAGGCACTTCCCAGAACAGGTAGAGGGTGGCTTGCAGGATCTCGGCGCTCCCAGCCAGCTCCTGGGTGAAGCGAAAATGCAGACGAACGCTGTGGGAGGTGGAAGACCCTGTGCACAGAACCAAAAGCAGAGTCAGGAGGTGAAGGGAGTGGGGGAGGGCTCCCCCAGCCAGGGGCCACTGAGTTGGAGCAAATGGGAGGTATACCCAAACCAGGGAGCAGGGCGAAGTACATACAGGCATCGAGGGGCCCCCACGTCCCTGCACTGCTGCTGCTCCTCCTTCTTGTGCTGCTCTAAAGGAGCAGCATCTGGGCCCCGTGCCGAACGCAGCAACCCAGCTTGGTTGCACCTCCTCTGCCCTGATATCCCGGTGTCAGTGAAGCTGCTGGAGGATTTTGGAGTAGGTTATCTGGCTGTGTAAACCAGCCCTGGATTTAAGGCAGTTACATTGATGTGCACCTCCAGAATCACTTCTACTTTCCATGGCTGGAACCATCACCTGACATCACACAGCTTTGCTGTTGCTGAGGCTGCAGAGCTGCCTCTCCTCCTCGCGAAGGAAGGGCTGGCAGGGACTGGGAGAGCAGTGCTCTGCCTCTGAGCACACAGCCCCCCTCCTCTGTGGTCTGGCATGACGCGGCAGGGTGAGGGACTGGGCTCACCCCATGGCTCGTGCCGGCTCTTCCAGCAGACTCTCCACCAAGCCAGGAGACAACTCCCCATTGTTCTCACGTGTGGGAACACAATATACCGTGGAGGAGCATTGTTCCCAGAAGTCTTCGAGGACGTTGCAAGCCCTTGCTATCCCACAGCAACCATGCAAACCACACAAAGGCCTCCAAAAGGAGTGTGTGACCCCCACACCTCCCCAAGCAGCAGCTTGGGCTGGGTTAATTGATGGTGCAGATGGATGCTCTGCAGGATGGACCAGCAATTCTGCTTCTTTCCAAAGAAGGCTGCATTTGCCTGGGAGAAGTGTGGGGTACAAGACCTTGTTTTTCCAGTGATAATTGTCAGGACCCTGAGCACATTTGGGGGAGCTCTCTCCTCCCAGGAACGCAGCTGATTCTGGAGTAAAATGCGGCAGCCCACCACATTGGGTAGGGAGTGGAGACACAGCTGAGTGTGGGAGCAGATGGTATTTGGAGACCTAAGTCCACACACTGTGAGCTGATGGAGAATCTAGGCTTAAAATTGTGTTTTGAAAAACATGGCCATCTGACCCCTCCACCTCTAGCAGAAGTGGGGAGGATTCAACAGAAATGGACAACAAATTCACACGATGCAGCAGTCCATCTTTGCTCCTGCGCCCACGCCCTTGCCCCAACACGTCCCACATGTAAATGAGAGGGGCCCCAGAGCCTCATTAGTGCTTCTGCTGCCCATGGCAAGGGGCATCTGGTTGAGGTAAGCTCGGGACATGGACACAAAGGTTCTAGATATAGAGCCCCTCATTGCCAGTCCTTCCAGCAGCAGTGTGCCCACTGGCCCGGTGCGGGGAGACCTGATTGCAGCCTTTCAGTCCTTAAAGGGAGCCGATAGGAAAGATGGGGACAACCTGTTCAGCAGAGACAGCAGTGACAGGACGAGGGGTGATGGTTTTAAACTAAAACAGGGTAGGTTTAGGCTGGATATAAGGAAGAAATTCTTTACAGTGAGGGTGGTGAAACACTGGAATGGGTTGCCCAGAGAGGTAGTGGAGGCCCCATCCCTGGAAACATTCAAGCCCAGGTTGGACAGGGCTCTGAGCAACCTGATCTCGTTAGTGGTGTCCCTGCTCGCTGCGGGGGGGTTGGACTAGATGACCTCTGGGGGTCCCTTCCAACCCAAAACTTTCTGTGATTCTGTGATTCTATAGCCTGGCATTGCTTGCAGGAGTGTGATGCTGCTGTGCAGAGAGCTTCTGAAATGCCTGTGCAGAGGAGAAAACGTCTCACCACCTTCCCCCAGGCAAGACCTGCCTTCCCTCCATGCCCCCCATCTCAGGGCCCATCCCACCATGCCCATGGGATGCGGGGTCTGTACAGACCTGACTCAGCAAAGCTCAAGATCTCGAACTCTTGCACACCCATCCCCGGATGCAGGTGTGGGATGCTGCTGTCATGGGGCATCCCTGGGGAGACAGCCACGTCCAGGCGCTGCGCACGCATCCTGCGGAGAGCGGTCAGCAGGGCCCCCCTGGATGTGGGCTGAGTGATGTTGGGCCTGTCTGGCAAGTGGAGCTTGGAGAGGATGCTCTGCTTTGCCAGCGCGATGAGTACGTCCCGCTGTGTGGTGGGGGCCAGGGCCGCCAGCCCGCAGGCTGGGCACCACACTCCCTCGGGAGCCGCCATCCTCAGAAGGCTCAGGAGCAGGAAAGCCACGGTGGCTGT